TTAAAGCTAGCATCTCTGCTGCTCAAGCAAATATGAAACATGTTAGTTGTCCTGCATAGATAACTTTCTCACTGTCTGCTACAGTAAAACCTGTCTTAGCCTGTCCCTCTACTGTCGTAAGACTCAAATCATCAACAAACCAAACCTTTCCCTCAACGAGTGCCACAGCTATTGAGTCATCCCTTGGCTTACACTCCTTCTCCAAGTGCTCTCTACACTCATGAGAAGTGCCCTCTTCTTTTGTTGGCAAAAGGGTTGATGGAGTCAGAATTGTGCACCATTTTATGGTAATATGTGTGGTTGTGAGAGTAAGCGTTACATTAAAGACAAGTGTCTTGTAGGTGACAGAAATGTAAATTTAGTCTGCAGACGATGTAAGGCAGAGCACGTCGTACACCTTAGTTGTCTTCCTCAACGTCAACGTCGAAACTCTTCCACTCCTTATGGTTGTTTGCTGTGCAAAGACTCCTCCCGATGATCTCCTGAAAGCCCAGTAGCACAGCTCTCTGTGCGATGTCTTCTGTGCTGTCTCTGATCCTCCTGAAGACTCTCTCCTGGCCTCAGCTCCCATCTTGTGGACAATCCCCTCAGCCACTCCTTCTCGTCCTGGCACCTCACGACATCTACAAATTAAAAAAAAACGACACTCCTCTCGCCACACGGCTTTCACTACGTGTCAACTCCCCAATGAGACATGTACAAGAATGTTGCACAGTCTCCCTAAAACAATCTCCAGGGTTTGTCCCTTGGAGCAGCCATACTCCACCTGTAACCTTGTGTAAAAACATTAGTCAGCAATTAAATGTTTAGCTTGTTTAACTCCCAGCTCCACCCAGAGCCTGTATCCTAGAAGACAAAGTCTTTAAGTTAAAACTTCACATTTGCAACTAACTGCAGCTCGTAAGTGTAATAAAGTATTCAGCATCACAGAGACAAGGATCATTGCAGGTTTATTCTAAACTCCTTAAACTCCTGCTTTTTCCATACTTTGCTCCAAATCATTTAACATCTCAACGTCATTCCACATTGTAATCAGTGACGTCCCTTAAGTTTGTCACTCACCATGAGCCCAACAGTGTGGTCAGATAATGAGCCCTATTTAACTATTCAGTAACCACTGCACATCTGTTCAATTGTCACTTGTCTGTCTGTGCTGAATCCTCTTCAAACACTCTTAAAGAAAAACAAACATTAGCCAAACACACGGATCATCCTGGTTGTCAGGTGTCGGCCATCCAGATTCCAGAGGAGCTGTGAAAAGTCATAAAGTTAACACTCTGCTGTAAAAAGATGCAACACTGGTTTCAAATACAGTATCACACTGTATTCACTTCTCCCCTGTAACATTCACATTTTCTCCAACATTTTCTCAACAACACAGTGTAATTTCATCATCAACATATAGCCTGTAACCACAGTTTTCTTCACACAAAATCTCAGTAATCCTGTGGTAGAAAAACATCATTAAGTTGTGTCCTGCTGTAAATCACATGATCAAATCACATGATTAACCATCTGCTGTAATAAAGAAATGTAAATGTTAGCGCTGCACAGGTGTATACACTCTTTCTCACAGTAATCTCTGTGAGCAACACACGGTAGTGAATAACACACCCATGGTAAATTCACAGACACAGAAAAATGAAAACTAAAAAGGTTAAATTTGCAGAGTTCACATAGTCATGTCACCCAAGTTTCCTCCTGTGGTCTCCTTCTGCTCCTGCAACAGAGACACACACAGTGATACAGCCACACCTTTGTCAGGTGGGGGTTAGCTTCACACAATGGTGTTAAGGCAGTCAGTCTTGTCAGCTTTAACCAGTCAGTCAGTTCCCCATTTTTTTAAATTCTCACTCATTCACTCAGTGATTCTTTCTTTTGCTGATAGTGGAAATTATTGTCGCATTTTGTTTCCACCCTCAGAAAAACGACGACATTTCAAAAAGAAAAAGAATTTAGACTGGATTTCCTCGTTGAATCCTTTTGGACAGGAACTTACTTTCTAATTGTCCCAAATAAGTGGCTTTCTCCCCAGCCCATTTTAATTTTGGAGAAACTCACTTTGCAACTGTTCGCAACAACATGTTGTATAGTTCTTCCTATTCAAACGTTCAGATCTGCTTAGATGACAGAAAAATTATCAAACAAAACTTTAGTGCACCATGAGAGTAACAAAATAAAAAGAAAATAAAGGAAAGCAAAGGAAAGAAAGGCCTTGTTTAAGTCATGACACGTGTTCTTCAATTCAGGGGAATAAATCGTAACAACCCAATTGGCAGGCTCAACTTAGTAACAAAAGACAAATCAACAGCCAGTTTAATCTCAAACATTCATCCAAATCAGCCATACACACAACATACAGCATAACCCTGCTGTCTCATCACATAATAAGTTTCTTCTCATGTAGCTAAATGTGTGCCATGTTACAACTTCTTCACACACCAGAAACTCACAATCAGCTCACTCAGCTCACTCATTTAAGACCTCTCATCAGCATTCTGTTTCCTCCTCTATGATGCAACCATCTGTCCTCCTATAATATTCAGTCCACTAGTCTATATATCACTTTCATCTTACTAGTGACTTGGACAAGATGACTAACAGAATCTCGTGCTTAAGATGCTGTCTGGTCTTCATGAGTATCATTTATTGTGTATATGCATGTAGGGTTAGTATAGTTAATGCATTTTCTGTATGTTTTTGTGTTCCTCTCTCATCACATTTCCATTATTCTCATCACTGCTTAAACAACATACATCTCTCTCTCTGATTTTTTTTTAAACTGTCCTTTTCTCCAAAACAGAAAATAGCATTGCAGTTGTTTCAGGCTGAGAAACACCAAACACTCTTCATGCTATCATTCATCCACACAACTATTTTATTTCTTTTGTCCACTGGGCAGGTGACCTGCAGAATCATGTCTGCCCCAGCTGGATACCTTTTCACACACACCGTGATGTCAGACACACTCACACTCACTTCTGCTTAGAGCACAATTTCACTTCATTCGTCAACGATCCACACACCACGTGCTGCCCAATAAATACTTTGCAGTGTATTTCATCCTCTTTCAAGGTAGACTTCTTTTAATTTTGCGGCATGCAACGCGCCTTACCCCAAAACCCAGGCTACGTGTAATTCCGTTAACACGACTTAGGTTTCCTTCTGTGCTGCTGCGTTCACTTACTGGCACTCACACACACATACGCTCATTCACACTCTCTTTAGGCCTATAACCTCCCTTACCGTGGCGAGCTCTATCCTCCTTACTATTGGAGGAGAAACCAAACACTCAACGCCCTTAACTGCGGAGAAACCATCTTAACCCTCCTTAAAACACTGGCGGAGAAGCCAAACCTACCTCCTTAAATAAATCAAAAAGATTTAAAAACAAAAACAAAAACACTGGCGGAGAAGCCAGGCAGTTTGCGTCTACACGCACAGCTTGCACACTCACGTAACTGCGTTTAACCGCACGGTCACGTAGCCGCTCTCTAAGGCCTTCTGTACTCACTGTTCGTGTTGTTTCCGTTCATGGGAAGAATCTCTGGATCCCGTCAATTGCCATCCATCCCGACCGGCCTGGTGACAAAGTTAAGCACCAGGGCTTTCGTCAGACGTCCCAGACGCTGGCTGCTAGCAGACTGCGGCGGCGTCATCTCCCTCTCCTCGGTGGATGCGATGCGTTGGGCTCCGGTTCCGAAGGACCAAATAAATGTTGGGTCTGTGTTTCCACAAGCCCTGCTGGTTTAGAGACTTATTCATCATGAAGAAAACAAGACAGTCAGCGATCGATCGGTTTATTTGCAAGGGAGGCCTCGTCGGTATCTCAGAAACGCACTTCGAATCTCATTACGAATGACCCCGACGACGGCCTCCTCTCGCTGCCTTTTATTGGGAAAAGAGTTCACACAAGACAGGGAGTGCAGAATTATTAGGCAAATGAGTATTTTGTCCACATCATCATCTTCATGCATGTTGTCTTACTCCAAGCTGTATAGGCTCGAAAGCCTACTACCAATTAAGCATATTAGCCGATGTGCATCTCTGTAATGAGAAGGGGTGTGGTCTAATGACATCAACACCCTATATCAGGTGTGCATAATTATTAGGCAACGTCCTTTCCTTTGGCAAAATGGGTCAAAAGAAGGACTTGACAGGCTCAGAAAAGTCAAAAATAGTGAGATATCTTGCAGAGGGATGCAGCAGTCTCAAAATTGCAAAGCTTCTGAAGCGTGATCATCGAACAATCAAGCGTTTCATTCAAAATAGTCAACAGGGTCGCAAGAAGCGTGTGGAAAAACCAAGGCGCAAAATAACTGCCCATGAACTGAGAAAAGTCAAGCGTGCAGCTGCCAAGATGCCACTTGCCACCAGTTTGGCCATATTTCAGAGCTGCAACATCACTGGAGTGCCCAAAAGCACAAGGTGTGCAATACTCAGACACATGGCCAAGGTAAGAAAGGCTGAAAGACAAGCACCACTGAGCAAGACACACAAGCTGAAACGTCAAGACTGGGCCAAGAAATATCTCAAGACTGGTTTTTTTAAGGTTTTATGGACTGATGAAATGAGAGTGAGTCTTGATGGGCCAGATGGATGGGCCCATGGCTGGACTGGTAAAGGGCAGAGAGCTCCAGTCCGACTCAGACGCCAGCAAGGTGGAGGTGGAGTACTGGTTTGGGCTGGTATCATCATAGATGAGCTTGTGGGGCCTTTTCGGGTTGAGGATGGAGTCAAGCTCAACTCCCAGTCCTACTGCCAGTTTCTGGAAGACACCTTCTTCAAGCAGTGGTACAGGAAGAAGTCTGCATCCTTCAAGAAAAACATGATTGAAAGCATCTGAAAAAAAACTAGACTTCTAACGTGGCCTAATCTAATCTTGAATAATAATTCAAGATTCTTTTTTCTCAATCACCAGTTTTGAACCTTGGTTACATGATTCTGTTGTACTGTATTGTGTTGATTTTATAATGGGTTTTTTGTTTTTCTCTAATTAGGTTGGTGGGTCAGTACAAGGGAACCGCTTTTACTTTTCTATTCTATATGAGGAAGGAGATGAAAATGAAGGTGGCTGCCTATACAGGAAGTCTGGTGGAAAATTCCACCGTCTTCCTGGTTACCCACAATGCCATTTGGCCAGTGGAGTGGTCAACTTCTTCCTGGCTCGTACAGATGCCATGCAGAGGGTGAGATTTGACCCCAAGCTCCAGCGAGTAGCGCATTCAGGTAAGTCCAGACCTCAAAAGGGGTTTAGATTGAAAATGGCACTAAGATGATATTTTCTTGAATGGGAAATGTCTGTTTCTGACTCTAGAGTTCTTCATGGATGGCCTGGGCTCTTTGATGGTTGCCTCATGTGGTGATGTGATAATTGACCATCAACCCAAAACACAGGAAAACCGTAATCCTACCTACAACAAATTCAGACACCCTGAAAGAAGTGAAGGCAAATTCAAACTGCAGCTTCACTTTTTCAAAAACCACCTTAAGTGCATTAGATATGGATAGAAGACTATAAACGCACATAAGGGTCACTTATTGTCATTACATATTGCACTTAATCTGAACATTTTCGTCTCTTTCATTTTAATTGTTTAGCCATTACTCCAGGAATGACAGAGCTTGGGATTCATGTGAATAAAGCTATTTTTTCTTTCTGTTGGGTTTTATTGTTCCTGATTTTATTTCTTTATGATTCTATAGGCAGTTTGATTTCTTATGCTATTGTTGATAGGGTTAGTGTCATAAGGTCATGTTTTTATTGTTAATCTAATATATCTAGTAATAACACAATAGTTTGAGTTCCTCTTATTGCCTTGTTTTTATGGAGTGCTGGATGCTGTTCTAGTTTAGAATACTTGATTTTTCATTCAGTTTCAGGTCCTACTTTGAATATGTTTATGTTTAGTTTCTTTGTTGTTTCCTTAACTGTTCTTCTCCCTCTCTTGTCTAGTGGTGCGAGGATTGATACTGAAATTCTGATTCCTCCGATACCAAATAATTTGTCTATTTTAGTAGTTTGGGGAAAACTGGATTTTATCATTGACAGAAAAGCAGTAGAAAGTAACTATATTATTGTGATCATTGAAATGAAATAGATATAGATAGATAGATAGTCTAGGAAAATGGTTCTTAGCTTTATTGTTGTTTTCAATCAGTCATATTTGTTTTGAGTCATTGTTAATTGAATATTTTAAAGGTTTTGACATTGACTGGGTTTTTTCCCTCTTGTATGATAATTCTTCATAATTAAACAATAAGAACAAGTAGTGCTATGTCTTGTATTTATTGTTAAGGTATAATTTAAAATACAATAATGCTGATTTTGATTTTCCAAGCACATTAAATTCTTGTACAAAGTACTGATATCGAATCAGTATTGTTGATACCAGCCTGAACTTTACTTGGTATGGGATTGGAAAGGAAAACAGAGACATTACTGTCACATAACTACTCTCATATTTAGTTATTTTATGTTTAATGTATCTTTCTTGTTTCTGTTGTTGGGTTGGGTTCCTGTCATATTTTAATAGATACTGGTACCTTTGCCACTTATTCTTTAATCACACGTTCAGAATTTTCTCTTGCAAAATAAGTCCATACTTACACGCCAATTATTATTATTTTTTTTTTACTTAAAACATTTTTCTTGCAAAACTAAATAGTCAAAAAAATATCAAAACTGGTAGCCATATGGTTGGTCACCTTACAGCAATATGTAGTATATGAAGTATAATATGTAATATATGAAGCCAAAGTTACGGCAACTCAGAATTTAAAGCCCCAAAGACTATTTTTCCACATTCACACAAGGGCCATTATGCATGTGTGTATGGGTAATTCTTCAAAAATTATTGAAAAACAAGCATTTTTAAGGTATTTAGATGAAGTTAAATCATTTCTTCTGTTCAATATCAATACCTAAGAAATTTCAACTCACAGATTGTGCCAAAATGGACCAGATTGCAAAACGCCTGGCTGTGTATTCATAAACACCTCTGTGACTTTGCTCTTTTACTTCAGCAGTATCAGTCTTTGCACAGATAATGTTCATATGTTGATTCCTGGTTTTCTGGAGTGTCAATGGAAAATTGTATTTAGTAGTCAGTATAATCTTTTAGTGATATAAGTTTGCTTATGGTAGGATGCTGTTTGTAGTTATTTGTATTAGGAAATGTTTAACCATGTATACTTAGAGGCATATAATCAATTGTGTAGTGACAAGATGTGTGATCTCTAGCAGGCTGCAGGCTTGGTTCACCCCCCACATCCTGGGAGCGTGGGAGAGGTCGCACCTTGTTTTATTGTTTTAACGTAGCTATGTCTGTTTCAGTCTAAGTGCTTTAACTGCTGGACTTCCTCACCGTGCCATCTAGGGTGGGGGAGACTACCCTCTTTATGACCAAGGATGTACCTTTTGTGTTTGTATGTTATATGACCCTTTTGATCAGCAGTGACACACACACACACACACACACACACCACACACACACACATACGCTCAAGAGTATAAATAAAGACCAGGGCAGTTCTCTCGCGGGAGTCTCTCAGTGTGGAGACTGCCCTTGCTAGCAAGAAGTTCTGTGTGTTTCTCTTCTCTGAGTCTTTACTGAAGAAGTGTTTTAGAACATTTTCCCTAACATGGAGTTTATTGCCTATTGCAGTATCTTTAATCTTTAATTTAGGATGAGATGTTAAATTGTGTGTTGTGATGAAATGATTAAAAAATACTCAGTAAAGCTAAAGATCACTCTTCTTCATCCACACAAACTTAAAAATGTGTTTGTCCGTACTGACAACATATAACCTTCCTTCCTCCTCCACAAACAATTCCCAGCTCTGGCCTTGCCTGTGGCTGATAAATTCATTAATTCAATTAAGTAAATTAAAAAAAATTATATTAAGTATCCTTGTGTATCTATAAGTGGGTGTGCAAAACACCCAAGATATCTTACGATGTGTACTTGGTTTGTAGAGTATTTTTAGGCTTGTGAAAATTTGTATTTTAGTGGAGAATTTTTCACAAGTGGGAAGCAGTTGCCTAGTTGAACAAAGTCCAAATGAGTCTAATTTATGAGAGGTAACAAAATCATCAACAATAAAATGTTTAGTAAATAAAGCTCTGTAATTTAAACAGGGTGATAAACACTGTACTGAGAGGAATAGGAAGCTGCAATTTATAGAGCACAGCAATTACATTATTGTCAGTGCTTGTAGATATTACTATGGAAACAGGGATAAGGTTACTATATCTGAGCAAAGACTGACCACTTACACTAATACAAAATATTACGTTTTGTAAACCACACATTACTCTCCAGATTTTCATATATACTGGGCACAATTTGAACCATAAATTTCAAATTTTGAATTGATTGCTCCACAAGACCTGTTTCTGCTGATTTTCAGTCCAGTTCTTGTGTAATTGGCATATCTCAGTCTTTCTTTTCACATTCTGCTTTTCTACAAAATGGATTCTTGACAGCCACTGAGAGCATTTCTGATGTGGCTTTCTTCCTATTTCATAAGGAAATGAATTTCAGATTTTTCCCCCTAAAGTACTTGCAGAAGAAGATCAGATCAAGATAGCCCTGAGAATATGTTGTCATCCGATCTGGACATTAGTCAACACAGAGAAGACACCTAAGGAAAGTTTCAGGCGATTCAGGAAAGTGAAAACTCTTAGTGATCCTTTATTTTCAGAGTAATATTAACAGTAATATTACAGTTATTTCCAGTTGTTTACACACAATTACATGTACTTCAGACACAGTGACTACCACATGTAACTGATGCACCACCCCCCTAAACCAATTCTGCTAAACTACAAGCATAATTCCTGCTTTACACTCAAATTGCAGTTTTAAAACACACTTTTTTCAAAACACTACACATAATTCTCTGCATTTGGAACTCTTTTCATGAAGAAAATCTCTTGTTTTCACAAGAGAAACACACTGTCATTCAAAATTGTAAACTCAGTTGCCCTACTTTGCATACTAACTCATCACATAGGTAAACACCTTTCACACATAATTGCAATGAAAAAATCAGAGCTTTATAAAAGGGCAACAGGTGAGTTCTTCTGTTTTGGTGCAATGGATGCCAACATTGGAAACAGAGGCAGAGCCAGAGGAGTGAGAGTAAGAGGAGGAGGGGGAGGAGGAGGAGGATGAGGACGATGAAGACTGGTTCACTGTCCACCCACGCTTTTTAGTTTTTTCTCGATTCGCCATGCTAGGCGATATTTGCCCTGCTGATCGGCCAGTGAAAATATTGCTTGTGATGTGGATGAGGTGTTGTGGCCAAATAGAAACAGAAGAAACGATGCAGCATAATTGTTTTGGTTTTGTTTTGTTTTGTTTTACTGTATTCAGTAAATTCTTCTGTTGTTTGGACTTTCCAGACCAGCAGGTTTAGGGAAGTCGTTTATGGGGTCACACTCTGACACACACGCACACACACACACCTCCAAATTCCAATGTAAGGAACAAACATGCCGGGTAAAAGCTATCGGGGCCTACGCTATCTTCAGCTGCACCAGCTACAGGGGCCTGGCTAGCTATGAGTGAATGAAGGGTGCGAAGCCGAGTCTCCAATTCAGTAATCATGGCCTCCAGAGCTGCAAATATGCTACATTTGTTACAAGTATCACTACTGCTAAAGGAGGCCGAGGAGTAACTAAACATCTGAAGCAATGAGCAGGAAAGTGCAGGAGGGACAGGTGAAGAGGCCATGCTGCTAGCAAGTTGGCTACGAGCTAAGCTAAGCTAGCGATACAGTAAAGACACAGTGAGTGAATACTTTGGCTATAATTTAGAAGTGAGTACACAGAGTGTGGTTCGGATGAAGCACGTGTAGATTATACTATAAAAAAGGAGGTATCTAAAAGTTTTTAATTAAATTGCTAAGCAGATAAGCTACTCAAAAACACCACTGTGTGTTGAGCAGGAACAGGAAGTGATACTCTACCGCAGAGAGAGCGAACACCAAGTGGCCAGTCAGATGTCAAAAAGAAATGACAGTCAGATAGTGTTGCAGTAGCATGCAAAGTAACTAATGTGGAATGTATCCTAGTGCCTTTAGTTTTTTGCATATTTGTCAGCACTTGATTTAAGCTGAAAGTCTGCATTCCAATTACGTTTGGATTGTTTGATTTAAAATCTGCTGTGGTGATGTAGCGAGGCAAAAGTACAAAAACTGTCTTGATCCAAAAATTTATGGATGTAACTTTAGCACCCACCACCTCACCTGCCTCTGAATGTGTACTTTAGTCTGCTTTTTCTTCCAATGGCAGACAGAAGCACTTAATCAGAAAATTAGGCCAAAGTTCTGGAAATTCACTGTTAAAAAAAAAAGTAATAAAAAATAAAAATGACAAATATATATGAATAACCTAAATGTGTATATACCAAAGGAGAAAACTAGCTTCACACAATAAACATAGGTGCCATTTTGTAGTTGGCTAAACTTAGACAGCAAAACAAATTGTCAAGAGTATAGCAAAATAAAACTTTATGGTTTACAGACCTCACAAAAGTGGTTCTGGAAGAATGGTCAAAGATTCCCACAAACACACCCGTAAACCTTGTGGAAAGCCATCCCAGAAGTATCCAACCTTTTATAGCTACAAAGGGTTGGCTATCATATTAAACTCTGTGTATTACGAATGAGATGTCACTCAAGTTCATATGTGTGTGAAGGCAGTGTATGTTCATCTCAGTTGTTTCCTTGGGCATCTTTCTACTTTGAGGACGTTTAGGAAAACTGATGATGTTGATGGTCATATTATGACATTAATAAAGAAATGACAAAAATCTCAATGGCTTCATTAACATTTTTTGTTACTGTGTTTTCTAGCAGGTTCTGGGTATCACATTTAAAGTAAACATGTTAAGCATGTTTACTTTAAATGTTGTTACATTTTCAAGTATAGGGTTATCAGTGATTTCAGTATTATTTCAATTTTATATGTGGTCCCAACATTTTTTTTGGATAGCTGGTCATAAATATATTTAAATCTTTAAGTATTCATAAGCATCCATAAGTGACTGAGCCAGGACTCTCTTCCAGACACTCTAACAACCACCGGCACAATGTACATTTCAGATTTTTTAATTTAAAAAATTTGAGATTGTCTGTTTTATTTAATTCATTTAATGTACAGAATTCACCCACTTGCTCCACACAATGCCACTTACTGCACATAAAGTCCCCCGTGTATATATTCACATAATGTATATAATGTAATTCTCTC